AGTTGATGAGAAGCCAGTAGCAGCCTCATAATATGGACACCAATGCAAATTGCTGCCTTCACAGTTTTTTCATGTAAACCTCACACAGAACTGATGAGTGACTATTAGTTCAATGCTAAAAACACTGACTTCAGTTAATTTAGAAAGTTGTAGCTCTTTTTAACATTGCACTATGAAGCAATTATATATATTTGGATATTAAGCCATTTGTCTATTGTTGACAGATAAAATTCAGTCTCAGGAGGTTCTTAACTATTTGTTTTGTTTTCTGTGTACACTCTTGAGTTTCCCTTAGTTTCCTTCCCATGAGTTCATGCTCATTGGTTTCAAGTGAAGTTGAAACCAAACTAGATTTTTGCTTTGGAGAAACAAACTGTGCCCTGACAGTCAAAACACCATCCTAGCTTTGACCTAGGGTTGCCAAGTCCCCCCTGGTAACCTTACTGAGGGCAGGGGAGGCCCAGGCCGGTGACATGGCAACGTTGCCGGTGACATCACTTCCATTGCACAATGGAAGTTATATTAATGCATTTCCAGTACTGCCAAGGACACGCTGGTATTGGGGCAAAACTCTAGCGTTTTGTCCAAATACCAGAGCACCCCCTGTGGTGATGCTGGCATGCTGGTGTCCCTTCTGGTGCATGCCAGAAGTGAAGTTGCCATGCCAGCTGTCCCCCTTTTTCAGCCATTTTCCATTGGCTGGCCAGTTGATCAGCGGCAGAGGGCAGTGGCTGGGGGAGGAGGGGGCCCTGCCTCCAGCGGGGGGTGGGGGTGGCAGCCCTACTTTGACCTGAGGCCTACAACTCTAAGGCAACCTTTTGCTGAGCTCATCCTGAATTTTTAATTGGTAGAAGGAAAATAACCAAGAATAATTCTTTGGAATTTCCTAAGGGGGAAATTATGGTGAACTATCTCTGCCCTCTGGTGGGATGTGCAGTGATAATTTAACAATTTGAATGAATGATAAAATGAGGAAATGTTCTCTGGCCTGTGAGTACTTGTATTTTGTAGTGGCCATTATTAAGTAGTGCGATTCAGTTTTATATCCAGCAGTTGAATTCTAACAAATGTATTGCTTTTGTCAGTAAGTCAAGGAAAAATTAGTTACTTTTCAACCTCAAATTCTTCTAATTTTAACTGGAGTCATCTGCTGTCAGTGAGTTCATCATGGTATAAGGAGATTGACCAAATGGCATTTGGATTTCCTTTCATATATTTATGATGGTTTGAATATTTAAGAGAGATGAGAAATAACTCCAAAATTCAGTAGAGGGTTGCCACCCAAAGATCTACAGAAGGAACACACTGATTTGGATTCAGCTGAGTTTCACTGCCCCATCCCTCCTATTGCAGTCTAAAATGCCCCATGAAATGCTGCTTCTGAGGGGCAGGGCTGCTCCCTGTAAGCTGTGGAGTCTTGTGAGCAAAAATTCTACTTTGTGAGCTACCGGCATTAAAGCTGTGAGCAAGCGATTTGGCTACTGCATAAATTAATTTGCTATGGAGCCATCCTTCCTGAGTTAAGACAAAAATGTGTGAGCCGGAGGCTTAAAAACTGTGAGCTAGCTCACACTAACTCAATTTAGAGGGCACACTGGACAGGGGACTCCCATGAACAGCATGAAGGGATAATTGGAGATCTGCACTGGAAAGCTGGGATTAGCAGAGGTTGTCCCCCCCCCCATTTGAAGAGATCCTCCACTGTATCCAAGCAAACAGGAGACTGTTAAGAAAATTACACCTCGTGCATGTCAATTACCAGCAATGTTCCCTCTAAGCTGTGGAGTCTTGTGAGCAAAAATTCCACTCTGTGAGCTACTGGCATTAAAGTTGTGAGCAAGCGATTTTGCTACTGCATAAATTAGTTTGCTCTGGAGCCATCCTTCCTGAGCTAAGACAAAAATGTGTGAGCTGGAGGCTAAAGAACTGTGAGCTAGCTCACACTAACTGAGCTTAGAGGGAACATTGATTACCAGTACTTTCTTAGATTATACCTTCCTTCTAAAATACTAAATTACAGTCACCTTTTGCAGTTACAGTGCACCTCTTTTTTCTCTGTAAATATATCTTAAATAAAGACCTGGGCTGATTTCGCACTAGAGCTGCCTCGCTGTTGCGCCGCTGTTTGCCCCGGTTCTATTGATCAATTTCACACCCGAAGCCGTGTGGCTGATTTTGACCCACGGCTTCGCCCGATTTCCCCTGCAGTTTCGTGATCCTGTTTTTTGAGGATCAACGAAACTGCGGAGGCAATCAAGCGAAGCCGCGGGTCAAAATCAGCTGCATGGCTTCGGGTGTGAAATTGACCAATAGAACCGGGGCAAACGGCGGAGCAACAGTGAGGCAGCAATAGTGCGAAATCAGCCCTGTTCTTTGAAATAAGGGTCATGAAGCAACCTTAGGTATGGACTGTATCACTTCACTGGTTGGCTAGCACACTGGCATGCCCCTTCACACACACAAGGTGTCTCAGAGCGGCTTACAAACTCCTTTCCCTTCCCCACAACAGACACCCTGTGAGGTAGGTGGGGCTGAGAGAGCTCTTGACAGACACTGCTCTTTTCCAAGAACAGCTCTTATCAGAACTACGACTTGCCCAAGGTCATCCAGCCAGGTGCAAGTGGAGGAGTGGGGAATCAAACCCGGTTCTCCCAGATTAGAGTCCGCGCACTTAACCACTACACCAAACATACACACACACAAACCCTTAAATCTGACACACTGAAAACCCTCATGTCACAGAGAGAATCTAGGGTAGAAAACTTTACCACCATCTACTTATTTTCCATCAAAAGGGGATTTTTTTAAAATGAAGGAACACCCAGTCTTTTGAAACCCCACCTGCAGTCTGAAATGGCATAGTGCAGACACAAATGGAACAATAAACAAAACTATGAGATCAGTGGCAACATTCCAACTGATTTAAGTGAGAAGAGATTTGACAGCATCTGTAAATAATTACGGATATCAAGTACATTGCCTTAAAATACATTATTTGGAAGAATATGCACAGAAGAAATAAAGTATCATGCAAATCAAAGCAGGGTGCCTCGCCCTGAACTGGATAGCCCAGGCAAGCCCAATCTCAGAAGCCAAGTGGGGTCCACTCTGGCAAGTACTTGGATGGGAGACCTTGAAATATCAGAGGTGGGAGGTGGGGGCAGGCTTTATTCAGCCACCTCTCTGAATATCCTCCAGGCCCCCAGTAGGGGTCAGTCACCAGAGGTCACCATGACTTCCAGGTGCACACATACTCACACGTGCACACACACAAACAAAAAAAATACCCCCCCCCCGGGTGCCTCAATGCTTAACACAAGGATTTTCTGGCATCTAGTTCCTAAACTGCAATATTTTACCTTCTACTCCATCACAACACATATATAAAACCCATGTCAGTTATTTTTGTGTAGCGCTCTAAAGCACATTTGCAAGAAACTTCCACTAGTTTGAGAGAACAATAATAGAAACAAAGAAATACACTGTGTGTGTTGGGCCTCATCCACCTCCTGTTAATATGAGACTTCTTTTCTATACAAAAACACAGACATTGACAGAGCAGCCCATTATTGCATGTCTTAATACTGGTGACCATGTGAGAAATGTTATACAACTAACAGTGCATCCCTAGGCAGAATTACATTCTTCTAAATCCATTGAAATCAGTACATTTACGATTACACTATACATTATTCCATTTGGTGAGCAGCTTTGAGAATGAGAGGAATTGTGTCTGAAATGTATCACATGAAATGACAGTGTCCATTTCTTTAAATGGTGATCCAAGCTCCTATTGACTCTAGAGTTGTAATATATTCATCTACCCACTGTAATGAGACCTTTGGATTATCATTTCTACATACATTTTATAATGGATTCAATTCATGCATTGGTTCTCACATGCATTTGTCTTTCTTTTCTTTTCATTGAAGACATGACTATGGATGAAGTCCGAGAGTTTGAACGAGCAACTCAGGAAGCCACCAACAAGAAAATTGGGATCTTCCCTCCTACAATATCAATTTCTAACGTCGCCCTCCCTTCTTCAGTCCGCAGTGCTCCTTCTAGTGCTCCATCTACGCCTCTGTCCACAGATGCACCTGAATTCTTACCAGTTCCCAAAGACCGACAACGGAAAAAATCTGCTCCAGAAACTCTCACACTGCCAGATCCATACAAAAAAGATCTTTAAATCCAGCATGTTTTGCTATGACATATCATGACTGACAGAACAATATTTGTAAAGCTTATAGCCATTGTTTCATTTAAACAAATTTGACAAATCTAGAAGAATGACTCCCTCTGCTTCCCCAGCTTGTCCCTTAAACCAGTTAGCTAAATGCATGCAAGATCATAGGTCCTGTGCTCTGATTCCCAAACTAAAGCTCTAAGCCATATGATAGATGTTGCTATCAACACAAAATTAATAGTTTGCAAAAGCAAAATAAATTTCTTCATACCAACTGTACTAAATGCAGATAACTCTCATATATAGAGAAACAATATTTGCAATTGGAGATGTAAGGATTTAATAAAGCTGGTGAGGATATCTTGAAAGAATGAGGGACTACTTAGGGACTATCAAAGGATAGCATTTCTCATTTCAAGCCATTATATATCAATTTCTAAAGTCCTTAAGGTAGACTCAGGTTGAATCTACCTTAAACAAAACGTGGGAACTACTTTGCTCTGAAAAACACTTGAATACCAACAGTAATTATTCAGATTCTTGTTTTACTGACTATCTCAGGATTTGGGATGTAGCTAATGCAAGCTTGAAGCTCTTTAAAATTAAATTACCAGTCTGTTATTGCTCTGGTAGTAATTAATTATATTTTAAGTCCCTTGAACTATTAGTATATTGCACAAAATGTATGACTTATCTGTTGTGCACAGTTGTATAACTTTTCTATTTTAATATTTACTAAAGTTTAGTACCTTGTAATGGACAAATCATTACCTGATTAGACTTGCTGCTTCCCCCTTCCTCTGCAGGGATGGTGGACCCATTAAGATGGCCCACCCCAGACACTTGATGGATCCCGATGCTTGCCTATTGGCACTTGGGGATTTCCCCACCTCAGCTTCTGATGATTCTGTTGAGGCCCTGACTGCTCTCTGGAATAGGAGACAGCTGGGTCAGTTGACACAATTCCCCCTAAGTGCCCCCCCCCCCCGAGCCAAGCAGTTTCCCTGGTTTCTTGGGGAACTGATGGTGAGGAAAAGGAAGGACAATGCCTAGAGTGCTGCTGGAAGAAAACTCAGAGCCAGACTGATTCAACATGGCATAGAGCCCATAACAGAGCCCATTCTGTGGCAGTGATGATGGCAAAAAGGCAATATTTCTCTGCAACCATTGTGTCTGTGCATAATTGTCCAGGTGAGCTGTTTTGTGTATTCTGGGTTTTTGTTTTTACATCATAGCCCCAGGGAATTGGGTTCTGACCCTGTGATGGCCCACTGTGATCAATGTGCTACTTTGGATTCAGATTTGTTCTTGGTTAGATGCTGGCATGGATTCATGTTCAGACAATGTACCTTTTCCATCTGCTGGTCTGATTTATATGGATACTTTTCAGCTTGTAGAGCCTGAGGGTGTGGGCAAGCTCCTTGGGGAGGTGAAACCCACCACCTGTGCTCTCGACCTTTACCCTTCCTGGCTGTTAAAAGCTGGAAGAGGGGGGCCAGCTGAGTGGGTGAGGAGAGTTGTAAATGCTTCATTGAGGGAGGAGAGTTGTACTACCTGTGCTCAAGGAGGAAGTTATTAGACCTGGGTTTTTTTGGGGGGGGAGGAATGTGCCAAGATGGCGCTGAGGCAGCTGCTCTGACTTCTAACGCTATGCAAGTTATCTGCTAAAATTATTTTTTTTGGGGGGAACCCTTCCTTGGAGAACTTCTGGCCACTCTTCAATCTTCCGTTCTTGGGCAAGGTGCTTGAGCGGGTGGTTGCTTCTTGGAAGAGACTGATTTTCTGGGCCCTTTTCAATCTGGCTTCAGGTCAGGGTTTGGAACTGAGACCACTTTGGTTGACTTGGTTGATAACTTCTACCAAGAACTAGACAGGGGAATGTGATCCTGCTAGTTCTGTTAGATCTCTCAGCAGCCTTCAGCTATTGACGATAGTATCCTACTGGGCTGCCTTTTGGCACTGGGACTGGAGGGCACTGTGTTAAGGTGGTTCAAGTCCTATCTGGGGGGGGCAGTCTGAGAAGGTGGTGCTGGGGATTCCTGCTCTGCTCTATGGCCATTAACCTGTAGAGTTCCTCAGGGTTCAATCTTATCCCCCGTGCTCTTTAATATCTACATGAAGTCACTGGGAGAAGTCATCAGAAGGTTTGGCTTGCAGTGTCACCATGAATGACACCCAGCTCCACCTTTCTTTTCCACCTAATTCCAAGGATGCTATTGATACTCTGAACAGGTCTTTTGATCACTAATGGGCTGGATTAGGATGAACAAATTGAAACTTAATCCTGACAAGACAGAGGTTCTCTGGGTTAGTAGAGAGGTAGACCAGGGACTTCAGATCTCTCCTGTCTTGAATGGGGTTACATTCCCCTTGAAAAGTCACATTTGAATCTCGGGGATGCTACTTAACACAGCAGTCACCTTAGGAATCCAGGTGGCTGCAGTAGTCTGGCGTGCTTTTGCCCAGCTGCGGCTGATGTATCAATTGCGTCCATTCCTAGGTCAGTCAGATCTAGCCACAGTGACCGTGCCTTAGTTACATCTCGACTGGACTGTTGCAATGCTATCCTTGAAGAGTGTTCAGAAGTACAGCTAGCACAGAACACTGCAACAAGTCTGCTGATTGGGGCCAGCTAACAGGAATTTGTGACCCCAACATTATAGCGATCAGGGGTCATTTCGTAGAAAAAGAGCTAGGGGACTCATTAGCATAACTCATTAGCATATGCCACACCCCCTGACATCACCGGAAGTGTGTCCTCCTCACAGCCGGCGGCGACCTCCAGCGGGCACCAGCAGGGAGCTCCAGGCCCCGCCCTCCCGCACCTCACCCGGGGGGATGGCGTCCCCCCGCGTCCCCCCCCCAAATGACCCCTGATAGCGATTATACCGGCTACCAGTCTGCTCCCAAGCCCAATTCAAGGTGTTGATTTTTACCCTTAAAGCCCAGCATGGGTTGGGACCAGGGAATCTGAAGGACTGTCTTCTCCCATATGTTTCTGCCCAGGAATTAAGATCACAGGGAGAGGCCCTCCTGAGTGTCCCACCAATCAAAGAAGCTCATTTGCTGGGTACACAAGAAGGCCTTTTCAGAGGCAGCCCTCCGATTATGGAACAACCTACACAGGGAGGTGTGCCTGGCCCCTTCACTTTTGATCTTTAGGAGGCAACTGAAGGTGGTTTTATGTAGGACTGCATTTGATTAAAGCAGTCCTAAATTTTGATTTTAAATTTTGGTTTTATGTAATCTGTTTTATGTATTTTAATATTGTAAGCTGTCATGAGCTCCGTAAGGAAGAAAACTGGCTAATAAATATTTTAAATAAATAAATATTTGAGAGCCGTGTTGCAGGGATGAAAATAGGAATAGAGGCAATTAAATAGGAAATGGAGCCCAAATGAGAAAACGGTGTCCAAATAAGGTTGCCATTAATAATTTATTGGTGGAAAATGCCGTCAAGTCGTAGCTGACTTATGGCAACCCAATGGAGTTTTCAAGGCAAGAGATGTTCAGGGGTGGTTTGCCATGGCCTGCCTCTGCATTGCAATCCTGGACTTCCTTGGTGGTCTCCCATCCAAGAACTAACCAGGGCTAACCAATGCTCCCTCTAAGCTGTGGAGTCTTGTGAGCAAAAATTCTACTTTGTGAGCTACTGGCATTAAAGTTGTGAGCGAGTGATTTGGCTACTGCATAAATTAAGTTTGCTCTGGAGCCATCCTTCCTGAGCTAAGACAAAAGTGCTTGAGCCGGAGGCTGAAAAACTGTGAGCCAGCTCACACTAACTCAGCTTAGAGGGAACGCTGGGGCTAACCCTGCTTAGCTTCTGATATTTGACAAGGTCAGGCTAGCCTAAACATTCATTAATGTTTATTAATTCAAACCTTGAGAGTTCCTAGGGACTGCAACAAAATCGGTTCAAACCCTCATCCAGAATCCTCTTAAAAATCAAAGAAACTTTCATTGTTTTGATCAGATATTAAAATATTCTGTGCTGACAAGTGACCCAGTGTACTACTGGCAGGGGAAAATGGTCAGCAAGTAATCTGAAGATGTCTCTTAAACACAAGAAAATGTGTAGAGAAATCGCAGATCCTGAATCCAGTTAAGGCTTCTGTGGGATATTGCCTGGCCTTTTCAGCCACCAGCCCTCTTCCAGTTTGAGAGACAGCATCTTCAAGTATCAAAGTGAGAGACACCAAAGACAAAGTGGAACATAGTAAGACAAAATGAAGAGGCAGACTCTTCATCTTGACAGTTCCCTTCTTCTTTTTGTGCTCTTCCCTCTTCCCAATCCAGTACCAGGAATTCTTATTTCCTGAAACTGCAAGGAGGAACAGAACATATATGACCCTTGAATACTTTATTGCTACTTCAGGTCTAGCCACAACCTTGCCAGAAACAACAGGGAAGCAGGACAGAGACAAGATCTTAAAACGTGAGAGCACATCCAGTCTGTGCTAAAAGCACTGCAGTGGCTGCCTATAGCATACCGAATTCGCTTCAAGGTGTTGGTTCTCACCTATAAAGGCCTTTATGGTCAGGGGCCAGCATACCTGAGGGACTGCCTTTCCCCACACATTCCCCAGACAGTACTGCATTCAGGGACACAAAACCTCCTGACTCTCTCTGGTCCTAAAGAGTCCAGACTGGCCACCACCAGGGCAAAGGTCTTTTCTGTGGCAGCTTTGTGCTGGTGCAATGAGCTCCCCGAGGACATCAGGGGCCTGCAGAATTTATTACAATTCTGTAGGGCCTGCGAGACTGAGCTCTTCCACCAGGCATTCGAGTGAGAGCCACATACAACATCTTAACTTAAAATCAGAACCTTAACTCTGGATTTTTTACCGTCGGCTATTACCACTATTGACTGACACCTGTTACGGATAATACTCGGAAACTGGTGTTCGCTGCCTGACATGCAATATCTACGTATAACACTTTAGAATTTATTATATGATTTTATTCTGTTTGTAATTTTTTTATGTAAGCCACCCTGAGCCTGCCTCGCCAGGAAGGGCGGGGTAGAAATCCAATAAATAAATAAATAAATAAAATAAGTACTCTGTAGCTGCAATAGGGCAATTGCATAAATTTTTAAAAAACCTTTGGACACCATCCCC